ACTTCTATGCTAAATGCGCACGCATAGTGTCAACAGCAAAGCGACGAGAATGGATATATCACGTGATACCCTTTCCAGTGTAATCGTTACCCGCTATTATCTGCTAAGGCTTACTAGTGAGAATTGATCACGCCTCGCTACTGCCTATCCTAGAATATGTGAATGAATATTTCGCACCACAGTGACGGTGTATACCATGGGCCTGCCTGTTAATTGTAAATTTTATATGCATGCCACATCCTGATAAGAAGCAGTGAGAGAATTACCAAACTGGCACTGAAATGGGAAACACAGGATTTTGGAAACGAGTACATCCAAGAGAAATTCAAAGAGGAACATTGATAAGAAAGGCTAAAGGCCCTGAATTGGATTGCATCCATCACATCAAAAAGATTGCATGGGATTTAAGGGAATAGGGGGTACAAGTTTTGTAAAGTATGAATAGGATAATAGGATGATGATGTGCATTTTGAGATGGGGGGGGGGGGGGTGTGAGCTTCCCTTATTCTGCTATCCAAAGAAGAGTTGTGTAATTGCTGTTGAAAGATCGGTATGCCATTGTTTATAGCATGGTTATATTGGGGCACCACGAATCAGTTACGAAGTTATCTGTAGTCTATAGTGGGTGGGTTGTCTTAATCATTTGTTATTATTCATTGCACTAAACAGACTAGCTAGCCAAGTGGTTGGAGCGTTGAAACTTTTATGCAGGAGACCTGGATAAGGGCTGGAGAATTTGTGTGTGTGAGTGTGTCTGACGGAGTCAGAAATAAAAACCCTAACCTGCACAGGTCGTGGCGACTGTACCAACCATACGGCGTTAAAACCTAGGCGTCTGTGCCCTCTCCTCCCCCCACCCTCACTCTCTGTTTTATTTTACTCTGAAAGTGGTGAATTCATGTATTAAAAACATTATTACACACACACACACACATACATAAATACATACATATATATATATATATATATATATATATATATATATATATATATATGTATGTATTTATGTATGTGTGTAATAATGTTTTTAATACATGAATTCACCACTTTCAGAGTAAAATAAAACAGAGAGTGAGGGTGGGGGGAGGAGAGGGGCACAGACGCCTAGGTATATATATATATATATATATATATATATATATATATATATATATATATATATATATATATATATATATATATATATATATATATATATATATATATATATATATATATTTATATGTATGTATTTATGTATGTGTGTGTATATATATATATATATGTATGTATGTATTTATGTGTGTGTGTGTGTGTGTATATATATATATATATATATGTATGTATTTATGTATGTGTGTGTGTGTATATATATATATAGGAAGTCTAGCCGCTAGACTCTGGCCTGCGGATCGGAAGGTCGTGGGTTTGGGTCCTGACGGGGGCCGGATTTTTTTTTTTCGAAGATGGCCTTGGCTATCAGGTCGACCCAGCCTTGAATGGGTAACAGGTGCAGTACTGAGAAGTGAAGGCGGCCGGTGTGATGCTGACCACATCACCCACCAAGTGCCGTTCAGTCTAAAAAATATAGATCTAGCCCAATATACCCAGTACCCCTAAAGGGGTGGAAAAGGGTTCTTTACTTATATATATATTTATTTATTTATTTATTTATTTATTTATACATTTATATATATACATTTATAAAAAAAAGTCAGGAAAATGGTTAGTAGCAATTCACCCTGTGAGGTGATTTCTCCTGCGGTTTGTTTACAGAAGAAGAATGCAGCTCTTCTAACGCGACTAAAGAGACAAGTAGATGAGCAGATGGAGAAACATGAACAAACTACTAGCCAGATCAAGTATCTTATAGAAACAATAGAAGCTACAAAAGCAAAACTGCAGGACATAAATGCTAGACACACCGCAACGATTGAATAAGATGGATCATTTCAGAAATGTGTAGTATAATTGTATGAATTGAGAAATGTGTAATATAAACATGTTAAATCAACAATAAACTGATCGTTGCAGTCATGTGATTCTTTAATGAGTATTTCTGAATTGTGAAATTAAATCAATTAAGTTTTGAACGTAATCATTTTGTATGCATTTTGTATGTGTGTATGTTTTTTTTTTGTTATTATTATTGATGACTTTCTATAATATTTCCTATTGAAACATTCAGGAATACGTCAAAGCTACATTTTCCCGCTGAAATACTATACGTAAATGATCACACACACACACACACACACGCACACACACACGCACGCACACACACACACATATCCAAAGTTTCTGCCGATGTCCTTGTCAATTTGCAAAACAGTCAGAATGTTTAATTTAATAATAATAATACTGTACTGATAAAATTAATAATAACAATAAAACACGGTGGTACAATAAAGAAATTCGTTCCCCCCCCCCCCCCCCCCCCCTTTTATAAGGGTTTGCATGTTTATTAATCCCTCACTAGACAAAGTGAAAGATCCATCTTACGTTTTACGTATACGTTTTTAGAGAAATTCATTTGACGAATAAATATCCTCATATTGCGCCACGCCAATAAAGCTTTGTGGTTTTAGTTCGTTATCTCACATAATCATCAGATAGGGATCAGTTGTGCGCTGCCTCGCTTATGGCGTGCAGAAAAATCATTGAGATTTTGACCTGTCAGTAATCATCTCTGTATTTTTTATTTCACCCTGTACCCCCCCCCCCCCTTTTTTTTCCCCCTCTTTGCGGAACAAAGCGCCCCAAGCAACTCACGCTAGGTAGTTCTGTCCATTCTTCTTCTTCTTCTTTGCATTCACCAGCTATAAACTCTGACGGAAAGTTCTGGTTGTTCGTCCACTTCTGGACTGCAGTCCTGTTCCAGAACTTGAGTGTTGCGTGTGCGTCCGTTTGACAGATCTGACTAGTTTGTATGCAGACTGTTGGTTCCTTGCCTCTCAGGCAGATGCACTTCGACTTTGAAGGAAGCTCACAATTAGTCGACTCTTACGACATGCTTTTGGGTAGGCAGAGGGTCTATTCTTGTTTTCCCTATAACAGGGCGCCGGAACCCACACGTGGAGTTCTGTCCATTGCTTTTGCATGTAGCAAAGCCACTGAGGTGTTGATCTCTTTAAATTCATATATGTTTATTTCACAAAGTATAAAGTATTTGTACTTCGTCTATTGTATTCTTTGAATTGTCACTGGAAAGCATATTTTTGCCCCGTCATTCTGTGCTCTCTGCTTGTCTTCTCTACTGTCCACATTGTGCATGTGTATTATAGTTCAGATTATATGTAAAGCCCTTTAACCCTTTTTTTTTTCATTCTGCAACATATATCTGTTATCTGTTAATTAATTGGTAAGTATGCTTTTGCCTTGCAGAGAGCTACCTTTGCTATAGCGATTGTACATCCACCAAATGCTACACATTCTGTTGTCTGAAATAAATCTCAACCACGTTCGTTCAACCTGCAGTTGGCAGCAAGCCGACAACAGTCTCTGGTTATATTTGTGGCCTAGTTTATTTGCACCACTTTCGTGGCTATGATTCTGAAATGTGCGCCAGCTCTCTGACTTATTCTTCTTCTTCGCGTTCACCATCTGTAAACTCTGGCGTGTCTCTGCTGTGTCTTTATATGTTCCTTTTGTCATCTTCCTGATCTTTTTTTCCTGGGTCATTCTCATCAAATTCAGTCTGCTTATTATCTCGCTCTTGTATCCTCTATTGTGTGTCCCTTCTATTTTGGCCAGACGTATCTCGTACGAAACCGAGCGAGGTCCTTTTGGACCACCATTTAAAGTTTTACAATTGTGTCTGAAATCAATATTGTATCATTTACATGTCATGAACTGTTGTGGTTATGCTCCCACACGATGATTTCCTTAATATCCTTGTTTTTATTTCTCAAATCCCCCACCCCACCCCATTCTCTCTCTCTCTCTCCCTCCCTCTCTCTCTCGGATTTTGATTTCTGGGATTAAAATCTCAGGGAACAGATCCCGGATACCCTGTTCAACAGTATTCTTATTTTTCATTATGTGTGACGTAAATGCGTTGTGTGCCGGTTTACAACGACAAATGCGCCTCTTCGGGCATTTGTTATACTGGTTAGCCTTCTCGGTCATTTTTAAATCTCGTATGTGTGGCGATTTCCTCATTCCATGACCCACAGGTGTCGTCTGTAGAGCAGGGCATTCAACTAAGTTTACTAAAACGAACGTCGCGGGTCAGAGGTCACAATTGCAGGTTTAAAGATGAATGCGTATCCCTTACAGGACTTTGCTAAATCAACTCCATAATTCTTCGACTGGTATGGCTTTTTAGACACAAATTTACGTTCACTAGTTTGCAATTGCAACTCAGCGGTCGGATCTCTGTACCACTGACGAAACCAACGTAAGCTGGTCTGTTGCCAAATCGCTTGCAGCTGGGATCAAACTCGGCATTACGAAGCGCGTTCGCAAGGCCTAAGCCACAGACGCTGACAGCCCCAGAATAGAGATTATTGTAATAAAGTACAGTTGGCAGGTGATCCGCGGACTACTCTGTGGGTAGCCAACGGAATAGTCCTGTATGTGTGTGTATATATATATAAAACTGGTCACAACATTTCAGTAACCCCAGCACCCGGTAATCGTGACACAGCGAACATTTTTTGGCGATACAGCCTGGATTACCTTGTATATGCATGGTGCGTGCCGAAAAAGTAGATGTTTGACATTCTAGCATAGTGTTTGCATGAATATGCTGTTTATAATCTGTCTACTGGCAGTCATTCTTATGTTTGGATGTCTTGATAATGGCCACAGTTCGTATATACGTGCACTGGCTTGTTTCTACTATTCTTCTATCTTTCAACGATATACTTTGCATACTTAAAAAAAAAAATATCTTTGTTGTACACTTTCAGTGTGTCTCACTAGTTAACCAATCATCACTGAGATGAACAGGGAAGACAACTCCCAACAACACATTCAAAAATACAGAGACTCCCTATTTCCTGCCAGCGCAGACGAACATGTTGGATGTGGTTAAGAGCATCGTTACTGCAACCAGTTTAGTAGACGCCAGTCATAAAATTGTCAAACACAACTTAACCCGAGAAGAAATGACCAGCCTGCAGAAGCAGATTTACTATTCAGATAAATACACGGATGACGAATATGAATACAGGTAAAGATTTATTAATTATCTTGGAAGCGGCATTCAAGGGGAATTTTGCAGCCTCGTGAACTGTTCAGATCTTTACAGTACTTTACACTGTAAAGTATTACAGTACAGTACTTACTGATTACTCGGCGGGAATTATATTATATTATTACATTCATCTCCAGTTAATACTGAATACTGTTTATTTAAGGTCATTTACTACTGTAGTAATTTTAAGTTTTCACTATAGTGCTGGGACTAATTATTTATTTACAGATCGTCGTATAATAATATTAATAAAAATTAGTTTTCAAAACAAATGCACCAGCCATCAGTGACTCAGTCATTTAGGACTTTCAACTTTGTTTCAGAACGGAACTATCAATTTATAGATTATTCGGTAATCCATTATTCATTATATTGATTAGCTCATTTTGATTTGCGTCACTACGTCTGCATACTTGACTCCTTTAATCCAGCTGTTTGAAACTCTTTCAGACTGACTAATAACATAAATAGTTACTTAGACTTAAAGGAGAACCGACAAAACAGTTTCACAGTAACAGTGGGTAGGTGATGATTGTGTAAGTTGTATGTTTGCTTTATTTATGCTGATTATTCCCTGAACCCCAAGTTATCCACCCTGCTGTAACCTGTCTTCATTTATGCATGTCAGTGGTTTTGGTAAGACTGCCAGACTGAGGGTGCCGGAGAACCATAGGGGTCACATTTGTGTTCTCAAGAGGGCCGCACCCAGACAACTGAGTAAAGTCATTTAAAAAGTTTGTTTCGTCATGCCTGTTTTACCCTGTCCATTAAAAAAAATGTAGCTGCAAAATCTAACCAGTTGCACAAATAGTAGACATCACACTGCATTGTTTGGTTAAGGACCTAAGCTCCAATGGGAGACGTTAGAGAAAGTGATAATTTGGTGACATGCTGCTGTCTATAATTGTCATGATGCGATATATTTTCAGACATGTAGTGCTTCCCAAGGAGATTGCAAAGCTTGTTCCTAAAACCCATTTAATGTCTGAGACAGAATGGCGAAGCATTGGTGTCCAACAAAGCCAGGGATGGGTTCATTATATGCGGCATGCTCCAGGTAAATAATTAGCATCCATGTGTTGAATAAATAATATTCTTAATTTGTATCAAGAGGTGGACAGTAGTCTGAGAGTGCATCCAGGGTGAAAGATGGAGATCCCTTGTAGTCAACCTTCATTGTGGTGATGGTCACTGATTGCTTTTTAGAAAAGCAAACTTCAGAACTGCTCAAATTTTATTGATCTCTATAGGAATTTTTTAGACCAGTTGGTAAAGGAATTTGAGAGCTTTGTAGAGAATGGCTTTAATTTTGGGGTTTTGGCTTCACACCTGATTTGTATGCGTGTGTGCATACGTGGTGCATTTATTCTGACATTGGTGATGAAATGAAACATTTTTCTTTATTTTGTCAATTTCTACTTTGTGTCGTACTTTAACCAGATGTTACCTAGCCAGGTCAGGGCACACTCAGTTGCCCTGTATGCTAAACGACTCCTTTGATCCATTGTCTTTAGGTCTTCCTTTGTCTCTCAGTATTTCTATAGCAAACAGGCAGAACCAGGATATTTCTTGCCATCAAAGGGGGCAGAACTTCAGAGCTCAAATTGACTGCTGTCACCAAAATCAAGTCCTGCACATACCTGCTTAGCCTCCTTTCTGATATCCACATGATGGATGTCTCGACAGCTCAGTATGTTAGACATTCCTCCTCTGGGACTGGTGTGCCCAGTAGTAATATTCTCAGTAGCCACCACTGACATGCTGTTTATTCTACACACATATATATATATATATGTGTGTATTGGGCAATTTGGTATGGAGGATTGGGGTAGACAGCGTCCTTAGGCTCTTTGTTTGATTTCCGCTCATTGCAGATCCCATGTTCATAGCTTATGGCACAGAACCCACCTGGTGTAAAATACTAGGCATCCAATTATATGCAACACAACAGCCGTAACTTTCTACTTATAGTTGTGACTGCAATCACACTATTTGAATATAATGTTCCCACATTTATGTTACTCTTAGAAAGAATATCTTCACATTCACTGATTGTGAACTATGGTGGAAAGTTTTGGCTGTTCGCCCACCTCTAAACTAAGTCTTGTTCAAGAACATAAGTTTTGTGTGTACATCTGTTTTACAGATCTGGTTAAGTTGTGTGCAGACTGTCAGTTGCTCGCTTTTCATAGAAATTGCTTCCTGCGACATACTGAAAGGGGGGGGGGGTCTATTTTCTTCACCAAAATGGAGCCCTGCATGGGGATTTAAAAAAAATATATTCAGTCACGCATAAAAAAAATGTTGTGTCACGCTTTAAGAAAAAATACACATCTCACCAAGTATAATTGCCCTAAAGATTCATTTAAAAAAAAAAACTTAAATAAAGAGCGAGAAAAAACAGTCACTGTAACTGTTAAAGCAGTAACATAGTAAACAGTGACACCCTGGATAACAAAAATGAGTTCAAGAACCATATTTATTTCCAGAAACGGTTATTGGTACACAAATTCAGTCCACAGCTTGGCCATCTTACATTAGCATGCACATCCACTAATGCATTCGTTAAAGGGGCGACTCCTTAGCCTGGTTACCCGTTAGCCAAGGTAGCATGACACTTGTCATTTAATAAGTTTACCTAATTGCATACTAAGGGTATGATAGAATCACTAATGTAGAGCTTTGGGAGAGAACTAAACAAGTTACAGTGGACCAAGAGGTGATGAAGTGGCGTTTGATAGGATACACGTTGAGAAAACCTGGTAGCAATTTAACTAGAATGTCTTTGCACTGGAAACCACAGGGCACTGAAATAAAGGAAGACCCCAAAAAGAAAAACATGAAGGGAGCTAGACAGCAAAGTTAAAAGGGTGTGGAGAGCTGCATGCGATAGTGAAGGGTAGAACGACTTGACATGACTTGGTTGAGGGTCTATGCTCATTGGAGGTTTGACAGGCAGAAGAAAAAGAACTATTACTAATTTATTATGATTACGTGATTTCTTTAACAACTTTTTCCACAGAGCCACATGTGCTGCTGTTCAAAAGGAAGCTGCCAGCAAACTAAAGCTCATCTGGACTACATATGACTAGTTTTATCCTCTTCTCTGAACACTTGTCTTCAAACTGTAGTTAGTGTGTCACACATGCATACCTCATTTGTGCTAGTTATTGTATATAGTCTTTTAAAAATGTTTTTGTATGGCTGCACATGTTGTTAATGCTGTGTTTAATATGATCTTAATGAAATTGTAAACATGGAATTGATATTCGATACATTGTTCAAATCTGACATTTTATATTAAAAGCCTCGTTTACAGAAGCTTCAAACAAAATTTGTTTGGTCTTTTATTTTGGTTTCAGTACACGTTTGGTTACTTCACAGGCATTCTTTAATTTGCTCAGAGTGGGTAATGACGTATAAAACATAAGATCAGAAATGTGTTCCCCCTAACGTTATGGGAGAGGGTGTTGGGGGAGGGTGGAACACCCTCTTTTTACAAAAAAAATTCATGATGAAACAGTTCTGATACATGTGGCAGGCTATCACTTGGGGTTCCATCTTCATCGCAAATGACCTACTCCTTTAATTGCTCTGTTCCTGTCCAGTCCCAGTGAAAACAAAATCATAAAATGGGTGCCAGGTGATGTCCTCGAAAGATAAGATAGCCGGAATAATGTACAACACATCACAGAGTCTATAAAAATATGTCTAGCACCTATGCCTCAGGGCTATTTAACTGGCAGGCAGAATGTGGCCTCATAAATGGCACTTGGATCATTCATATATTGTATTAATGATCTTTCTACACTGGGACTTGAGTTCCTGCACTGTGAGGATCCTCAAACATGTTAGCCCCTGAGCAAACTCGGTTGAATGGCCCTTGATGCACTACTAGTATGAAGATGGTCCTTTACTGTAGTTACTTTAACTCTTTCAGTTGCAGGGGGTTTAGCAGAAGGGGTAGTAAAGAAAGACATAAAATCTGCATGCATATCTTACATTACTGGAATTCTGTGTAAGAACTTATGAATGAACAATGCATTCTTTGGGACTGAAAGAGTTAATGAACTAGGTAAAAAGTTTATTTAAATTAGGAAATGCAGAAAAACTGAAGAGTATTGTGGTCAGGTCAAGGAAAAAGTAACAGACAAAACATGCTAGGAGTTTCCTGGCACATATCAGAATTAGCTGAACTTATAAAGTATGTTTTCACGTCTTCAGAGTTATATTTTTTGTCCCCCATTGGGGGGGGGGGGGGGGGGGGGGGGGTGACTCACTGCCCTCCTAATATAAGGGTCTTGTAAAAGTAGACTAATTATAGGCTTTTTTTTTAAGTTGGAGTACATCTGACTTAGAGATAAGGAACCAACAGTCTGCTTACAAGTGATTTTTAAAATAGGTGTGCATGTAAAACTCTGGAACAAGACTAGAACAGGGCTATTCAACTGAGTTGACTCAGGGACCACAATTTACCACATGGGGATCGTCAAGTGCCAGAGACCCGAGCCTTAGCGTATAAAAATCATTAAAATACTACAGTTGCCAATAACCTCCGGGCCAGGTGTGGTGTGAATAGCCCTGGTCTAGAAGTAGACAAAACAAACTTTCTGTCAGAATTTACATGTTAAACAAATATTTGTTACATACTCATGAGAACTTTTCATGGCAACATTTGGAATGCAGGGGACACCACAAATCTAGCATGCATATTTTTCTAAAGTCACAACATGCTAGTTAAAAGGGAACAACAGAGAGATGATGATGGTTTATGTTTATTTAAACACTATCAAACTACAGATACACACCAGCACACAAAGACTGGATTAGAAGAAGAAAAACTATCACTGGGTCGACATATCCACAAATGTACTGCATTTTAATACATTTTCAGATACAAAAGTTCAAACTGTAAAAACAATACTGTACCAGCAAATAGTTAACTAATGAATATGCCCATTGTATAATTAGCTATTCTAGTGACTTCAATTGTAAATTTTATATTTATATAATTTCAAAGTAATTTAATTTAGACACATCTGTAATCACATTCACAACATCTCATCTTTTCTTTCACATGAAAGGATGACCAAATCATTATTACAGGTTAGGTAAAAGCACCGAAGGTAAAAGTTGGTTACAGATCATTTAAAAGAATTTGCAGACCAACCCTACTATTTATTGGCTATTGTGTTTTTTCTAGGCAATTTCACAATCTGTAGTTTGCCACTGCCTTCTGGGTGGGATAATGCTCATATTGTTAAAATCATCGCAAAGCAGTCAGCTACCAAATCATCTGCAGCTGAATCTGAACCAGGCTATGTCTAGATTGTGACACTGTGTTCCCAACCCATTAGGTCACAGAAAGCGATGAAGAACATATCTTAAAAAGCTCTTACCAAATGTCAAGTTCTTTCAAAACTTTAACCAGGTACCAAATGCTTTAAGAACTATTCAATCAGACACAACTTTTAAATGCCATTAAAAACTGTCAAACGAATCTTAATTTTAAAAAATACACAGTACAATCATATTCTTCTTGACTTTTACATAAACAGTTGTTTAATGGTGTACATTGCAACACAAGGCACGATATCTGTTTTGGCATTTTATTACTAACTGTTTCACATAATAAATGGATAATGTGAAAACTGTTGCGCTTTTCAATAGGCGTTCGTTTCCAAAACAAATATCTTTTATATGTAACTTTAAAGACTTTCCATCCATCTTTCTTAAACTACACAAGACCTACAGGCATACAGAAAAATGAAATAACCGCTGTAATGGCTAGATGGTTAAAAATGTAATGATAAAATAATGAAGTCTGGTAAACAGTGTAAAGTCTATGGTTAAGCATCAGCAAGGAGATAAAAATTAGAATTTGGAGAGCATGTATCTTCCCTGTGGCTACTTATGGATTTGAGTCGTGGACTATCTCTCAGTCCTTAAGAAAGAGGAGAATAGGGGCTTTTGAGCTGAAATGCTATAGACAGATTCTCAGAATATATTGGACAAAGAAGATGAGAAATATTGACATCTTAAAAGATCTGAACATCAAGGAAGACTGGCTAATAAACAGCATCCTTTCTCGAAAGCTGAAATATTTTGGTCATTTCAAGCGCCACGACGGATTGGAAAAAATTATAGCAGAAGGCATGGTACCAGGAAGGAGGGGCAGAGGCCGACCGACACGAAGATGGGCACAGGATATAAGTGACTCCTTGAGTGTGAAAGTTCATGAGGCGGGAGAACTGACAAGAGACCGAGTTTCTTACAGGCAGACTGTGATGAGAGCGACGTTCTGCAAAGGACCTGCTACATGATGATGATGGTAAACAGTGAATGTTGATGTTAGAAATAGGAGTCTTGCAATGAAACCCTGTCGCCCCAAGAAGCTGCCAAACAAACATGTTTCGGTCCAGTTACCCCTAAATGTCACATTCCTGAATTGTCAAAAGTGATTTGTGCTTGCAAGACGCATAGTTAAAGCCATTGGCTGAGTTCCTGCCTGAGAAATCTTGAGGAGGTCAGCATATGAACAGTTACTCAAAAAAGCATTTAGGTGGGTTTAATTATAGACCATATGACCTTTTTTTAAAAGCCAAATTGTCACTAATTAATTTAATTTTCGGCAGCTTCATTTATAGTCACCTGATATTTTATTTAAAACTCCCGGAAATAATTCCATGTAAAACTGCACGCTGTTTCTTGATTTGTTGTTGATTATTTCTATTATTATATTTCATCATCATCCGTTCTCTTTATGCCTAGTGGCACTTGAGGCTTCAGAGAGGACTTTCCACGCTTTCCTGTCCTGTGCAGTTTTCCATGTCAGAGATGCTGCATTCAGGTCACTCTCCATCATTCATCTCCATGTTGTTTTTAGGCGCCCCTTCGTTCTCTTTCCCTCTGGAAAGAGGGCAGGTATATCAGGATTCATTCTCATAACGTGGCCAAGCCATTTTCATCTTCTCTTGGTTATCATAGTCTAGAGTTCTATTATATTTAGGGAAGAAGAAAAATGTCAGGTACGTGTTTCAAATGTGTATTAGTGGGGGAAAAAAATTATATGGGGGGGGGGGGGGGGGGGGTGTGCATTCCAGCAAGGTTACTGGCCTTTTTTTTAAGCGCTCCTGGGGGCCAAATGGTTAATGCAATAATTACTGATGCTAGAAATAGAAGTCTGAATGCTGATGCAAGTCTACGTGCATACAGAAGTAATGATGTAGCTGCTGTTAAATAATCACAGCTAGATGATTAACATAAATATAGTGATACAATAATTAAGTCTGGTAAACAGTGAGTACTGATGCCCAAAACAGGAGTAGTGAGATATTACTGAATTAGTTTCTAAATAATAATGATAGAAATAGAAGTCTTGCAACAATTCTAACATAAATTTTACAGCGCTTTCCACGCTTTAGTCAAGATTGATATCATGAGAATGAGCCTGGGAAAACTGGAATGTTGAAGCTTAACCATTTGAGTCCCAATGAACGCATGATGCGCCAATTTTATTACTTTCTTTAGTACCCCCTGGGCCTGGGATGCTAAACCCCCTGGGACTCAAAGAGTTAATGTCTCAGTTCCCTATGTACATCCCAGGGGCACCATTTGGGGAGATTTACCCAATGCCTTTCAAACAAGCATGTTGTAAAAGGCGACTAGTTAGGGGATTGCTACAATCAGATTTTGTTGGGCAGAAAATTGCAGATACTGCAGCCTAGCTGCAAACCACAACATACAAGCTCGTCACTTTTTTTTTCAAGGGTGAACAAACATCATTAAAAAACACAATAACCTAGCATTGTAGAAAAGTCACAAACCATAAATGTTATTGGCTGTTCAGTAGAGGAACTTTACTAACCTTGTCAGTTTAAGAAAGAAAAAAAAGATTTTGTTTGTAACTAAAAAAATATTTAGTTGTGATGGATCTCCATAACACTTTAGTCTACCTCTAATGTTATTCTCTCACTTGTGTCGCTGTCTGATAACAAATACCTTTGGTAGTAAAGTCAGATAACTGGAAACATCTCCCCAATATTATTGCTGCTCTATCCCTGTCT